TTTTTTTTTTTTTTTTTTGTTAGAGTGTGAATAAATGGTTCATCAAAGAAGCCTCTTTTATAAATTGTGGGTGTGTACATACAAAAAATTGACACTGGTAGATTGTACTTACTATAGATATTAGAATTATCATTTCTATGGAGTATTTGGATGAAGTATTGAGGATATTTTATGTTAGTAACCTCCAGTTGCTGATATTTTCGATGTAAAAAAAAGTATGTTTTTGGCTTTTTGCTATTTAGCTTCACATGCGATATTACAATTAAAATGATTGATCCCTCGTAGCCATACATTTTTCTATTTGCAGATCAAGAAAGGAAAACCTATCCCGGGCCGTGGAGCATGAGGCAAATGGAAATAGAAGGGCTGCCTATGAATGCTACCAGAAGGCCGTTGATATATCACCTTCAGTTGCTTATGACCTTATCCAGGTAAAATAGATGTCGATTTTGTAATTTTCTCAATGAATTTCTTATGATTTTCTATATGCTATACGAGTATTTGAGTAGATTCTGTCTGATTTCTATGATAGGTACTGAAGAAGGAAAATGTATCGTATGTTGTGGCTCCATATGAGGCAGATGCTCAAATGACATATTTAGCCCTCAACAATCATGTTGATGCCGTGATTACAGAAGACTCGGATTTAATTGCATTTGGTTGTCCCAGAGTGAGTCTCTAGACTTAGCTCCTCATTTTATTGCCATTTATTTAATTTTTTAATTTTGTTTTGTCTATTTTTTCATCTTATCATTTTTGTATTGTCCGTACTGATTGAACCTGTAATGACACAACAGATAATCTACAAAATGGATAAATTCGGGCAAGGTGTTGAGTTTAAGAGTGCCTTGTTACAGTACAACAAAGATCTAAATTTAGAGGGATTCACCCAAATGATGTTGCTCGAGATGTGTATCTTTAGTGGATGTGACTATTTGCAGTCCCTTCCCGGAATGGGCCTGAAAAAGGCTCATGCTCTCATGAAGAAGTTTAAAAACCATCAAAATGTAAATATTTATTTTAACTTACTGTTATTATTAATATTATTATTAATCTTAATGGAATTTTCGACAAATAGTTTTTGATTATTCTTGATGCAGGTAATTAAGCATTTAAAGTACAACAACATTGAGTTTACTCCTCTTTATGAAGAATCATTCAGGAGGGCAATTTTGACTTTCAGGCACCAACGAGTTTATGATCCGGTTGGCGAGGAGATTGTGCATTTATCTGAGCCAGTGGATAGTACTGATGAAGATTTAGACTTCTTAGGCCCATATCCTTTTTCTTTAATTTCCTATAAGTGATTTCAACAAGAACATGGCATGTACATTGTGCTTTCTTGGTGATACCTTAACGAGCACCACGTCATTGTCCCAGCATGTGGCTAAAGGCATAGCAAGAGGGAATCTTGATCCTTTCACAACGATGCCAATCCAGGTAGTTTTTTTCGATTTCAATTTAATTTTACTAAATATATAAATAAATATTTCTTCTTTTGATCTATTTTGGTTTGAAAAAGTAGAGAGAACCCGAAGCTACTGAGAAGGTGGTTCAACGAACATACCAGCTCAAGAATTTCAAGCCTGACGGTGAAAAGAAAAGGCTCGATTTGCCTGCTCAGAAGAATCTCCTTACCAATTATTTTTGTATCCAAATAAATCCGATTTTAAGTTTTTACCTTAGAGCATTTCTTTCTTAACTATATAACTGGTCATGCTTTAAATACTACATGATAAGAGATTTTTTCATTTACTTTTTTATCTTTTCCCTTGACGGGCTAAGGTTTTGCTTCTCTTGAGGCAAAGAGGAATTTCAGGGCCCCTCGGATTACATCTAATCATCTAAATAAAAGCAACAAAATTTCCAGTCATTCCATAAATACACACGAGGTCAGTTGTTAGTGAAGTCATTTTTCGTTCTTTTAACATTTATGTTGTTTATAATCCTTTTCCTTTTTGTATTTTTTCTGTTTAGGTAAAATGTGACGATTTGAAGTTTGCTGATTCACAGGATCTTGGTAAGGACACATCCTATAATTGCTACATAGTAACATAGCTCCAAGTTCTTAAACAAATCGTTTTTTTTCCCTGATTTTGTTATTATATACCCGTAGGGCCACATGATGATAGAAGAATTGGAGTTAAACCGTTATCCATAACTGGGAATTCAGTTTGTAAGCCATGTATCTCATTGCACAAGGATCTTGAATTGGATGAAGAAAATGCCTCGGGAGATAAAAATATCAGAATCAGTAGTTCGTATTATCCGAAGAATGATGATGATGAATATGAAAAATGCCGTAAAGAGGAGAAAAAGGTTATAGTAAAGAGTCGTTATTTTTTGCACGTTAACACAGAAAACGCTGATCGTGAGGAAGAAAAGAGTAAAGGAGAAAATTCTGCCGAGATACAGATAAATCGATCGGATTTAGATTCCAATGATTGCAAAAGCTCAGCTGATGACATAAAACAGAGAATGAAGAGTTCTTACTTTGGACAAATTTCTATAGAATCTGAAAATTTTGTAGATAGAGGTGAAGAACTGGTCGAGCCTTGCAATTATGGTGTTGTTTGTAAGAGCTTGTCAAGTGATGATAATCTGTTAGAGGGCAATACTGTGAAGAAAAGAAAGCTTGCTCAAACTGACAGCCCAATTGTAAGCAAATTTCTTTTATTGTATTTAATTAGAACACTTTTGTAGGTTCTACTTGTATAACCTAGTTCTCAGCTTTCTTCTTTTTTGAATTCAGGACGACACGAAGGAAAACAAGTGGTCTAAAGGTAGTGTTCTTGAATATTTATATTTATGCCAAATGCATGCACTTTTTTTATATATATGTTTTTATTTCTTCAGACATTTCGGGCTCATGCACTTTGGATATAGAAGAAGATACAAATGATGACGAAGAAGAAAAAATGGCATGCGACATTAGTCATTTAGGTCGTTATTCTGATATAGCTGGGAAGTCAATGAAAAAATTTGTGTCAGTTATATCATCGTTTAAATACAGCTTTTCTGGCTCGCGTGCAAGTGGCCTTCGTGCGCCTCTAAGAGACATAAAGAACAACGATTGCATCAAAAGGTGAGAATGTGCATGCAAAGGAGTTCTTTAGTGTTTTTAATCTTGTGCACTTAATTTTTGTTTTTAATGTTTTTACATTTTTAGGTCGAGTCTTGATGTGGATTTGAAGAAATTCACTTACGCGCCTGCCAAACGAACAGCAGCCTCAAGATGCCTTAAAAGTAAAATTTGAGTACCTTTTTTTCGGAACGATAGAGAGGTTTGATGTTCAATGAGCACAGTTGTTTTTATATTAATGAGTCAACCTCGAGATTATAATTTGTAGCTCCCCAGTTAGTCGAGCTTTATTCTAGATTTTGATAATATTATTGAGGTAGCTCGACGAGTAATAGAGCTTCGGTATTTGGCCTCAGATTAGCTCAGTTCGAATAACAATTTTGAAAAAGACAAACGAATCACTCGGGTCGAGTACTCTTTTGCGGAATTTTCCAAATGAAAAGTAGTGTTAATAAT